AGTATTCAATTAAATAACATCAAAGATTCAATAGTAAGGGAACTAGCCTCTTCAGGATACCTGCTACATCACAATCTAAGGAAGGTGGTGTGGCCACATTACATACATCCAATCCCAACTTCAGAAGTAGTTATGCCTGAAAATGAAAGTATGACAACCAGCTAGGACAGGAGGAGGAATAATGAATAATTGACGAATAGGAATAGAAGGGATCTTTAGAGGTCATCTAGCCCAACCCCTGCCTATCTTAAACAATCTCAAGCCAACTCTTGGCCAATATCCTGCTGCTGCAAGGGTTGTTAAAATACACTTGAGAGATCCCGGGAAGAATGCCATGTCCCCTACTCCAAAGGAAGGCAAAAAACCTCACAGTCTGTATCAGTCTAACCTATTGTGTCCCGTCATAAGTACTTTTTCTATAAAATGAACATGCATATTTCCTTCAACCTCTCCAAAGAACCTGCCCACTCACAGCTGAGGTAGAAGCATCTGGGAGAAAATACCTGTGGAGGAAGGAAAAGCCTGCAAGCACTCATTGTTTAGTATGTCCATTAGTATCCCTTTCTTGGTCCTTCTTTATCTTTAAGGAATATTAAGATCCCCAGCTTCCTCTCCTTTCCCTGGGGCACACAGAAGGAGGAGAGTGAAATTCCCTTGGGCTTGTCTATCAGTGTCTGACAGCTTTTTTTCTTTAGATAGGTAGAAGCCCAGAATCTAGATTACAAGAGGAATGAGCTGAGAGAAGAGTAGCTATGTAGGAGTTGGAGGGTATATGTGAGGAAGCAGAAGTAATTATGTTGAGATCTGGCGGCCAGAGCTGTGTGCAAGCATTTATTTCTAGCAGTGGAAAATTTCCACTGCTACAGAAGATTCTGGGAGAGGGAGCAGTGCAGGCATTCAGCCTCCAACAGTCCCCATTCTCTATGCGTTCCAGAGACCAAGGTGATCCTGGTCTGGGACAAGCATGGGAAACAGTGAAGCAAATCTCCTATCCACTCCTCATATTGGGGACTCTGGTGTGAGAAATGGGCCAGGGGCTTGCAACACTACTCCCACAGGAGCCGAGCAAAGGGAACAGCCCCAGAGTCCCTGGTATGTGTAGAGCCAGTGGGGAGCAACTTTTATCAGGTTAGTGTTTGGTTCCATTTCTCCAGAAACTGCCATTTTCGGTTCAGGAGAAACAGTGTGAACATTTGTACACTTGTGATTTCTACCAGGATCATGGTGATTGTCCCAGTAAAAATGGAAACACTTGGACATGGCCCAGGAAAAATTATTGAATAGGGAAGGTGGGTTGAAGGGGGTGAAGGTCACTTGCACCAGGCAAAATGGAGTAACTCCTGAACAATTCCTGAAGAACCTAGCTTTACAATCCCCCTGTACAGGAGTCACCCATTAAGGAAGATTTCCCCCTCCTCCCAAAGAACTAACATAGCTTCTACTAGAATTTTGTTTGAATATCCCAAGGCTCGTTGTCTTGTGTAGACAATTCCTCTTGCATATTAGCTTTAAGATTCTTGGCAGTATGAAGTTGTGGACTTTTCATGGGCTTTCTGACCTTATATTATCCCTTATTTTCATCCTGGAGTTAGACTTCGGAAGTGTTCATTCTTTTCAATAGAGATTTATTTTTTTTATCATTTCAGCAGATTAAATAAACTGTGGTACTTCATCCTCCAATGCTACTGGTTGTTTTGGCTCTAAAGACAAAAAAATAACACACCCACCAGGTCAAGAAATTAATAACATAGTAGAGCATTACAGCTAGCTTAACTTATCTAAAGCAGATATTTCTACTAGCACACCACTTCAGAAGACTGCTTCTTAAGTTAACTGAGTCAAATGAACGAGAGAGACTTACACATCCTGTTCACAAATTATCTTCCTCGCTTTGATCATTATGTGGAAACCTACAAGAAATCCCATCTAAGCAACAGCTCGTTTGTGACTTTAAGGTTATAAGGCATCATGAACTCCACTATTAATGCAGTGACGATAATGCTGCAAAAATACAGAAGAAAGTAAATGGACCTGCATATGTCCCTTAGTGGTCAATGTATGCCGAACATTTCTTGCCAGACTGTATTTCATATGCTAAACTTTGAGTTTATGGTAATAGCACAGAGCAGGAAATGCTACACATTTTCTTAATTAGGTATTTTCTATTAGCTTTTGTGTATATGTGGCCCCCATAACCCCGGTAATGGAGCAACTCACTTAATGTAATCATCTTTCACCATCCTTTCAGATTGAAGATGGAAGCTGAATTACAGAGAGAGGAAGAGCCAGATTGGTTTTATATCTCCTTAGACATTGGCATGCCAAAAAATAGGCATCCTTCCCTAGAAGAAAGACTTAAATTGACATGGTTAAACATCTGGGCTCCTGGAGTCCATGGAAAGGTTTTGGATGCTTCCAGAGCACCTAAGAGCTAAGCAGGGAGATGCCTAGAATCAGCTATTAGGAAACAGTAGGCAGAACCATGTCATAATGTCAGGTCTCCACCTTTCCATCTCCCCCTGCCATGAAAATGCCAGTATCACTTGATATTCATAATCCCACTTGCTTGCTCTCATTTTCTCCCCCTAAATTTTCTACTCTTAGCTGTCCAGTGATTCATCTTTAATAGCAAGGGGTGAGGGTGCCTCCACACAGATTATTTTATAGTTTAGTAGCTATACCCCTCTCCTTGAAGGTAGGAGATGAGAGTTTAAATTCCTTTAAACTGAGGAGGACCTAGAGCCAAAGCCTCCCACTTTCTGGATTGGTACTGTAACAACTGCTCTATTGTGCAAAGGGTGGGAACCGGTTTCTTGAATGAATGATTGCGGGTTCTGTAGTTTGCACTCTTGTGTTGTCAATGTGAGTTAAAAATGCTTGCTGAACACCTAATGGATCAGGGACCTACACTCCTCCCAGCTGCAGTCAGCATCACAAAGGAAGATTAGCTGGGAGTTAAGTGCCTAGGTTCTTGATTTAGATTGTTTCTGAGCATGCTCAGAAGCCTCAATCTGTGTGTTTAGGAATTTTCCAGCCAAAATGAAGACTCAGTGAATTTCAGCACCAAAGCAGCTTGTTCTATCTGTCGTGCTGTTGATCTAAATTGCTTTTAGTGATGTTGTAGGTGCCTAAATCTTGCCTATGTTCCATTTATGTGCCTAATAGCAATCTGGATATGGTCTGCAGTGATTTGCCTAAGGCAGGGGTGTCAAAATCATCTGGCCCTGCAGGAACAAGACCAACTCCCTGTGCAGTACCCGCAGCATCAAGTCCAGCGAGCACACAGTATGCATCGGCCTGGGGCTTGCTGTGCACATAGCACAGCGGCCAGTACAGACATACACTGCCCACAGCATGTAGGCTGGATCCAATGCCACATGTAGCCCAGGAATGGTCTGGGCTGCCAGATGCAGCCTGCACCCTGGACCCCCTGTGCCACATGGAGCTCTGGGACCAGACTGTGTGCCATGGGCAGCATGTGCCCTGCACCAGGGCCATGTGCTAGCAGTCCCCTCAGCCATTGGCTAGACTGGGCATGTGCACCGCACACAGCATGGGGGGGATGGCATCAGGCGTACGCTGTCTCTGGCAAGGTCTGATCCAGACCAGCCCTGGAGCCAGTATGGAGGGCTGGTCAAGCAGGGCCCTCTGTACTGTGTGCAGAGCGTACAGCACCAGGTCCAGCACGCAGCACAGCACACAGGGCCAGGGCTGACACGTGGGGTCAGTCCAGAAATCCATGGTTTGGATCATACAATTTCATAAGCTGGATCTGGCTCATGAGTCATATATTTGGCAGCACTGGCCCAAGGAAAAGCAGAAAGGTTTTGGTGCAGCAGGTGGAACTGAAACCAATTTTTCTGAGTCCCAGGCTAGTGTCCCATCCCTTCTTCCTTTTTGTGGCAGTAACTCTGTACTACTGACCTTGGAAAAGAGCATTCAGAGCACTTCTTAACACCTAAAACTTCAGTGCAGTGTTCCTATCTTTTTATTGAGACTGACAAGGATTTCTGGTTTTGTAAAGCAAAATGCAATCTGTAAGAAGATAGTATGCATTTTGAATGTATTCAAAGGCCTATTTATGATGAAAAGGTTTACAAATTGTCCTATGAAATATTTCTTAAAGCTTCCATAATTTATACTTTGGAGGTCACCATTTAGTATTGGACACATTCATTTCTATAGAAACAAGCATTATGATGTCACTTCATTTATTCAGTGTGATCCAGAGAAGCCCACTGTGAATTATGAGCCCAACTCTTAGAGCTGAAGCTGTAGAATATTGTAAGCATGCTGCTGCCTGACATGCTCATGTTTCCTATTTTAGACCTGACTGATCTTCAGATAACATATGGTGGTACAAGTAATTGGAAAATTGGCAGACCTGTCAAGAAAATATGCTAGATGGGACAAAAATACGTTGCTGCAGCACATAAAGTGTCTCTGAAGTTAAATTTATTGTCTTTTATCAAATGGTGAAGTAAACGTATCTGTTCTCAAAAAACTGAAGCATTTTTCAATGGCAGATGCTTTCCAAAAGTAATTTTTATGACAGCAGTGAAAGTTTTTTGCATATTAAAGGGAAATTAGTGGAAACCTCTAGTCGAGAACCAAAAAAAAAAAGTGGGAAATACCTTTTAGTACAAAATTTAAATATCATTGAACTTCACTTCTATGTTTTAATGGCTTCCTTTATTTAACACATCTCAAAACAGCTAATAAATCAATTGACCCTGCATAGGTTATCTAATAAATTGAGGTTACCTAATAAATTGCTATTTTGCTAAGAAGAATAGTGGTTAGAACTATTCGAAATCTAAGCAGTTTTTCGTTACTGATTTCTCTTTTGTCTGTAAACTAAAATAATTAAAATCTTACACTTATTTTCTGTCAAAGAATGACAAAATATTGAAAGGGTAGGCTTTTATACATATTGGTATCTCTGCAGAATATAAGTCTCTTCAGTAAATCAGATTTTTTTGTGTTGTTTTGTTTTATAGGAGGATGAAAATGAAGCTGAGGAAGAAAATCTATCTCAGGAGCTGATCGTGGAACAGAAAAATTCAAAAAAATAAAGATAACTGTCATGTTTGAAATATTTGCAAGTTGTGTATCAGTGGTTAAAGTTTCTCATTGTAAAATTAAGAGAACATTCTCAATAAAGTCATTGAAAATTAAAATTCATGATGCACTCGGGAATTGTTTAAATGGCTCTTGGTGACATTTATGATTATGTTAAAAATTGAATTTTTAAGATTGGAGGTAAAGATCTGTAAAATTATAGACAGTTTTAGAAAAAACGCAGAAAAGCAATGTTAGATACTTTCTTAGCAACACTTGCTCTACAAACTTATTAAATGTTTTTCACGATGGCCAACAGTGCATGTTCTGGAAAGGGCAGTAGTAACTCACACTCATTCAGGTATCTCTGAGCATAGTTATTTGCATTTGACACTTAAGAGTTTATTAAAATTATGACCAATTAAATGAGTACATAAACTTTTCATCTTACCAGCCACTGAAATCAAAAATAGTTGGTAAGAGCATTCAGGTCCATCTTTCAAGAATTTTCACCTGGCAATAACTTTATCTGTTTTTATTGCGTGCTATTTGAAATTGTTCTGTGTTGCACTGCCAAAGAAAACTTTTCCCTTGGGCAATCACAAGATCTTTCACAGAATGTTGAGCTGATCCCATTATTTCCCATTGCATATGCTCACACAGATTTAACTTGTCTGTAACCATTCTGCCAATCGAAATAAATTAATCTTCCTTCTTCCCCTTGTCCCTGCTCCTTCACAGGTATCTGCAGAAAACTTCCTGTTCCAGGGCTGTGCATATTGCTTTACATTTTTTCTTTAGACTATGTCAGCCAATAAATAACGAATATAAAAACTCCAAATTGAGGTTTCTTGCATGATGGTATTGAAACCTGGTATTGAAACCTCAGGATATGAGTAACACTAATTGAAGTCGTGGGGTTTACTTGTATTCTGCTTTGCCAGAATCAGACTTTAAAATGATATTTGTATTTTCTCACTAACTTGCATTTCTATCAATGTGTTACATCCTGTTGGTGTATTTATTTACACCATTTATTTATTTATTCCCATCCATATCAATAACAAAAACCCTTCCATTTAAATTGTTGAATTTGAGAGACTGTCTCTCAGAGCCATTCTTCTAGCCCAGGGGTTCCCAAAGATTTTATGTGGCGGCCCAGCAAACCACGGCCCAGAAGTGGCCGCAGTCTAGCAAACCACAGCTCAGCAGTCACACCCGACCATGGCTTGAATTTCCAGCTGAAAGACAGGTAAGGATACCCCATCCCCGGGTGGGGAATGGGCCAAACCCTGCATTGCCATGGGCCCTGCACATGGAGCCACGGCCTCTCCGCCTGGCTCTAGAGGGCCGCAGTTTGCTGGTCTGCAGCCACTTCTGGTCTGGCAGCTGGCCCGCTACGGCCTGGCAATTGAGAACCCCTCTTCTAGCCTATCAAACTCATCTTTCTTCTATAGCATCTATCACAATGCTAATGAATTTTTGATAACTGTGGAAATCAGCATCTTTGAAAAAGTAACTGGTAGTGATGAATGAACATCAGCCAAGTTTGAAGAGTGAATGGGACATAAATATAGAATTTAGAGGACTTTGTAGGAGACTTAGGAGAAGTTAGCCCTACTACAGCTGAAAGCTGGTGAAGAAAAAAAGCAGTTTCTGGCAGTAGGACAGACCATCTTTTCAGAGTCAGAGAGTATGATTTCTCTGTACAAAGCTTCATCTGTACAAAGCTTCATTTCTGTCAGCTACTCTGTCTGATGAGACCTGCTTCCATTTTAGCCTCTCCAGCAAAAAGTTAAATAGTTTCAGCACAGCTGCATTAGAAGAGGTAGGTACAGCTCCAAAGGTTTACAGAAAGGACACAAGATCACCTCAGTGGCTCTTTCCAAAATCCTGTTACCAGTCCTCTGTAAAAAAGAAGAGAAGGGTGGAATAAATATTCTTTTTTACAAGTCAACCCCAAAATGTCAAGGCCAGTTCTAACAGCGTGATTCTTACAGACATTAGAAAGAAACAGCAAAAATTTTCTGACAACCCAGAGCAGTTTCATGGTGAAGAGCAAGATTGAGGACTTTTGAGAAATGGTAAGCTGAGAAAATTAGGCCCCTTTAAGGAGTATGTGCATGGTCTTAATACAGTTGCAATGCATGATGGAAAGGAAGGAGGTTTATTTCAGAAAGGGATGGTTATTTGCTGAAAGGGAGTGTGGATGTCTGCTTCTGAAGTCCCAAGAAGCTAAAGGATGGGTTTCATCCTCATTTACCTCGGTGCAATTTAGTGACTATAGTCCCAGTTCTGTAAAATAATCTGTTTCAACTTGGACCCATTGAAATGAATTGATACTATTACTGGTCTGTGTATGGCTGTATTTGTTTTTAAAGCTCTTAAGGGTTGTATTTCCGGTGAACTTCCCATTTGCCTGAAAAATCTTACATGTAGTTCTCAGATATACACTCATACTGTGCATCATATATAGACATTAATAAGCCATTGAAAACTCCTTTCTACACATTAAAAACTGGTGAGTTGGTGTATATGTGTATCTTTTTAAGTAATTTTTCTAAAAATTACTACATTATAATTATATACAAAATACAATCAGTACCGGAATTCACCAAAACCCCAGCAGACACGCATTAAAGGCCACTGAAAAACATAAACAATTAGAGCTGATAACCAGATAGGAATCAGACTAAAGACTCAAACTGTTTAATTTTAAACATAGTAATAAATCATAAATAAAAGATTTCAACTACAAAGGAAATAATTAGCTGGATTTGAGAAGAAAGTATAACAATGGCCAGGAGCATAGGTCAGAATTCAATCCTAGCTTCATCCTTTCCAGGAAAATGGAAGAATGATAAAGATCTCTGCTTTAATATCTTTACTACATACAACATTCTTTGATACAGGTCAATTTAAAATATAGAGACTATTATTGCCACATCTAAGTTTCATTTTTGGTGCCAGTGATTTCAGCTGTCTGAACAACCCTCTCAGGCTGTCTTGATTGATTTACTATACCTTAAGTTTCATAAGGATAAAATATTCTTTCATCCAAAATTCTTCCCAGAAAAGGGGCATGAATTCTACCTTCATCACATCTTGTGTGCATATTTCCCCATATCCACTAGATGAGGGGTTCTTCATAAGATGGGACTTGGCTTTTATCTCCAGAGAGTTAAAGACTTTGAAGTCCATCCTATATATACTTGAAGTCCATCCTACATGTACTTGAAATGTATCCAAAAAGAATAATATTTTTGACTATACTGGAAGAGGGGCATGGGGAAGCAACTGAGATTGCTTTTATTCAGCTGGTCAAAGCTATTTTTCTTTAGGGACCTATTCTATACATGTATTTTGAGCCTACCTTAATTTGTCCTGTTTATTTTTATTCACTTTCCATAATATGCAGTTGTTTCATTTCATAATGAACTAGGCTGCTGTAAAAATCTGGATACAAGACTGCTATTTCCCATCTTCAGTCTTCACCAGGCAAGTCAGTATGGTGGCATTATCCTGTTGAAAATAACACATTTGTCTTGTTCTGTAAAGCAACAGCTATTTTGAGCTAGGGGGATGTTTTTTTTCTCTGCTTGGAAAGGACCTGTTCCACCCTTCATATTACAGCAGCCATGCAGCTTTCTCTGTTGCTTGTACTGGATTTGCATTTATTTTTGTTACTGATGTTATTCCTCCTTCCCACCCCCATTATTTAGCAATTTAAAAAAAACACAGGAAACATTTTTAGACACCAAAACTTTGAAATTATTATTCATGATTACTTAACTTCAGAGAAAAGTAAATTATTTATTCAATTACAGTAATTTATCTTCTCAGAAAGTGGTTAATTAGAATATTACTCAATATCTATCTCTCTAGGAAGAACTGGGAATATACTGGTTATATTCATTTTATCAGTTACAAAGTTCATAAATTGCCTATAACTATCAGTGGCCTCTTACAGAGGCCACTGATAGTTATAGGCAATTTATGAACTTTGTCTCCTAACAGGTGTGTGCCACTTGCTTGTATCTTGGATAACAGGGTCAGAAATTTGAACTATGGGGATTCTGTCAGAGACATACTTCCCCCACCTTGGACAGTACATTTTAAGGTTCAGTCCTAGCCATATCTGTAAACTGCATATACTTTTTCTGCTTGACTTCCATTATAGACAGCCTCAGTGATCAGGTAGTAAATGTACACTTCTCAACATGAAATATCTTATGCATACCACCCCAATGCAGTAGGTTGGAAAGCCACACTGACTAGCTGCTGACCCAGTGCTAGAAGTAAATCATCTGGCCTGCAAGAAGCCCCATGGGCCAGATCTGGCCCTTGGGGTCAATAAGTTTGACAATTCCTGTTTTAGAATTTAATAGATAATTGCATCTTTAAAATAATTCTGTAGGATGGTGTCAAAATTCTTAGCATGGGATTTAATTTTAATGAGCCCTCAGAGTTGAACAGAATATTCAATTAAAACTTATTCATACATAATTAATTAGAACTATATAATTATAAATTATATTTATTATAATGTATAATCTATACATATACAATATGTGATTCATGTTATTATTTAGGACCTACTCAATTTGCGATTTTGTGGATTTCATGGAAATTGCAAAATTGAGCAATGTCCATGAAATCCATGGGGGGAAAAAATAACAACCAAAAAAATGACTAAAAATAAAATGCTGGTTCCCCAGTGGGAGCCAGCGATCCTCACAACTGCTGCAGTCCAGCCTGTAGGGACAGAGGGGGAGATGCCAGCGCAAAGGGAACAGCCAAGATGGTGGCTGACTCTGCCCCTTACTACTGACTAGAGTGGGTTGCCCATTGATCAGCACTGCCCCTCTCAACCAATGAGCAGCAATGGGTGGGCCGCATGATAAACAACTCTCTTGACCAACCAGCTGCAGTGGGTGGCCACGAGGACCCCTTAGCCAATCAGAGGCATGTGAGGAGGGAAGAAGGGGTTGGTGCTGCAATAAACCTGCGAAAACAGTGACCAGCGCTGCAATTGGCCAGCAAAATCAGTCACGTGCCTGCTCAATTTCAGTAGGTCTCTAGTTATTGTTATATATGTTATAGTGTAAAAGTGATGTTCTGGA